CTCTCTCTCTTCCTTCTGCCTCCTCGCCCCCTGCTGGTCCTCCGTCTCTCCCCTCCACCTTCCTTTTTACCACATCTGATTTCTTCCCTCCTCCTCTCTCTCTCTCTCTCTTCCCTCTCTTTCCCTCCCCCCCCTCTCTCTCTCTCTCTCTTCCTTCTGCCTCCTCGCCCCCTGCTGGTCCTCCGTCTCTCCCCTCCACCTTCCTTTTTACCACATCTGATTTCTTCCCTCCTCCTCTTTCTCTCTCTCTCTTCCCTCTCTTTCCCTCCCCCCCCCTCTCTCTCTCTCTCTTCCCTCTGCCTCCTCGCCCTCTGCTGGTCCTCCAACGTCTCTTCTCTCCACCTTCCTTCTCACCACATCTGATTTCTCCCCCCCCCAATCTCTCAGTGACCCAGACAGCACACAGACGGCGTCCGTGTCGTACGCTCGCGCGACCCACCAGAGGGCGCCGCCGGCTCACCTCTATGATGTAATCGCGTCCGTCCTTGCCCTGTATCGCCTCCACAGCACAGATGTCCAGTCCTCCAAACAGCTCCGAGCATGCGTCCACCCACAACTTGTACCTGCACGCAGACAAGTGAACGTTACGTCGTGGCCGGACGTGTTCCGGAGAGGGCGCGGTCGTTTTTGTGAGGGCGGACAGAAGTTTGGGCGCTCTCTCGATTATAGAAACCATTAATTGATATGATATATAATAATGAATATCCATAGAAATAATATGGATACACTATACTATCTATCTATACTATTTCTTTATTATCAGTCATATTATCATCGCATCATATAATTATCATATATTATTCTATATATTATTATTAACTGTATTGTTATCATTCTATATTATCAGTCTATCTATATTATTTCTATGTGAATATCAGTTGATGATATCATGTCATCGATGTCGTCACCATCGTTGTTGTCATCTTCATTATTCTTACAGGGCCGTGCGTAGCCTGCGGGGGGAGGGCAGCTGCCCCCCTAGATTTTGGAGCAAAATTAAAAAAATATATTGTTCTACTAAAAATGAATTGTTCTAGTCAGAATGAAGGCTGTACATGCACTCAAAAGTGCCTCAGTTACCATCTCCTGCAATCTACATTTTCAAAATTTTCTGTGGGAGGACCCCCAGACCCCCCACCTGTCTCTCACCCCCTCCTTGAAATGCTGGATCCGCCACTGCCCCCCTCCCCACTAAGAATTTGCTCAGCCTACGGCCCTGTGATCAGCATCGTCATCACCGTCGCCATCATCATCGTCATCATCGTCATCATCACCGTCGTCTCTCTCTCTCACCTGTCCGTCATTGCTATCTGTTCCAGCATCGCCGACCCGGTGTTTGCCTTCCAGTTGCCGGAGATCGACTTTCGCCTGTCGGTGTGTGTATGTAAAACAGAGAGAGAGAGACAAATAAGGGTCGGCGATTAATAAACACACATGAACACAGACGATATGAACACACATGAACACAGACGATATGAACACACACACACACGCACCCCATCCCTACCTCTACCCCGAACCCCCCCCCCATGCACGCACACCCAACCCAGCTGTAGCAGACGCCTGGCTGACACACTCATCACTAAAACAACGCGTTACCGTTGCTAGGGCAACGTGTGACTGTTGCTAGGCAACGCGAGCTCACCCGTCCTGCATGCCCTTGCCAGGTTGCTGCTGCTGCTGCTGCTGTTGTTGTTGTTGCTGCTGCTGCTGCTGCTGCTGCCTCATCACATCCGCCCCTCCGTTAGTAGAGTGTCCGTGCACGGTGCCAACGCTGGTCGACTTACTGCAAGCAACGACGACAACGACAATGATGACGATGATGATGACAACGAGGGTGAGGCTACTGCCACTGCGCCACTGTTCAGCAGAGGAGAAAAACTTGACGAAAACGCTAGACGGTTATTTATTATAATATGCTCTCATTTAGATATGAAAGCATTACGGGAAAGGTTTAGGCGACTCTCCACGATCATTGCGGCAGTTGAATCTTTCATGACTAGCTATAATTTCATAACCAGACTGAAAGGTGCAGGTAATTCCTTAGTAAGTCGCAGCACACTTTCTAAACGCACTAGCTATCGCACGCGAGACCGACTATGTTAGTAGCCAGTAGGTGGCAGCACACTCTCTAAACGCTCTAGCTATCGCGCGCGAGACCGACTACGTTAACAGCTAGTAGGTGGCAGCACCTGATGATGGCGGTTGGTTTGCAGACGATGGCCATGCGTTGAACGACAAGGTCCGCGATCAGTCGTCTGTCTTCCTCCTGACTCTCCCCGAGCAAGTTAACAGCTGAGTCATTCACCTAGAAACACATAACATACAGAGAGTTATACACATATAAATACAACATACAGCAAGTTATACACATATGAATACAATATACAGCAGGTTATACACATATAAATACAACATACAGCAAGTTATACACATATGAATACAATATACAGCAGGTTATACACAAATAGATACAAAATATACAGTTATGGA